ATAGAAATAGTTTAACAAAATTCTGATTAGGATGTGAAATTGGAAAAGTAGAAGTTAAATGCGCACAAGCAGAATTCTAGAGGGAACGAAAGGAAGAAACCAAAAAATTAGCTTCATTCTCGAATATTTTTGACACTGTTTTGCTTGTTCTCAGTCCACCTTCCGAAAGTTTATCATGCGCATTCAATGGGTATATGATAGTTTTGAAAGAACCGCCAACATTCTTGTCGGTTTCCCAAACTTTTTGGTTTTTCCCTGTTTCGGCGAAAGATTCATTGTCATTTTTGGTTTACTTGGCTTGCCAACGATGCTGCCACCGTAAACACAGCAGATAGTTTGGTGGCTGGCTGTGCTACTTGAAAAAGTGGAGTTGGGAGATTTATGGGGATATGTGTAAAGCGTGCGCAGGGAAAAAAAGTTTATTGAATCCTCTTGGGAAAAAAAAAGCTTGTAAGCGTGGGCAACGGATGAAACAAAGAACAACAACCGTGTCCAAAAATGCGAGAAGCAGAGAAAATAATAGAGATGAGGTTTGCATTGCTCGTTTTTGCTCATGGCAGGTTTACGGAAAATCAATTTTACGGCTTACCTTACTACTTACAAAAGCAACCGTTAAAGGAGCTTCAAAGGTTACTTGAATGCTTAGTTGCTTGAATTTGAATTTTTAAACTACGTACGTAAGGCGAGAAATTTCCGCTACTAAACAAAATCTTAAGAATGTTTCATATTATTTGGTCCCACCTCTGCTACTCCAAAATGACATTCTTACTGCAGCAATCCGTCTAAATTTACAATCTAACTGGAATGTAGTAGTGAACGAGAGCATCATTTGTACTTTGCTACCATTTTTTATTTATTACTGCTCAGTCCGTAAGAAGCAGCACTTGCAGTGTGATAAAAAAATGATAGTAGAACCATCTCAAATCAAAAAAGCTAAAGTTAAGGGCTGCACTATACTTTTTATAAACATAATTTCAAGGACATGCTATGAGGTTTCTGTGCGCGACGTTAAGATAGAAAGTGGAGAATCATCTGAAATGAATGATAGCGTACTTTGAGAAATTTTGCTATTCCGTGAGGAAGAATCTAAGAGACTTTGCGTGCTGTTAACTAGGAACTGTAATTACCTCTTATAACACTACTAATTTTGCGAATCATCTCAATTGTACAAGTTATGCACTAGCAACCATCTTTGAAATCACTTTCTCATTGTATTTTCCCACATAGAACTTTTTACTTAGTTATTCCCTGTTATATATAAACTGAGTTATAAAAGCGTAAAATTCTTATTTGCACCTTCTCCGTAAGTACTCTATTGCCATGTTTAGGCTCCAGAAAAGAAATCATCTCACCTTACTACTTGCCATTTCTGAAGCGCTGCTTTGGTAAACCATTAGAGCACTGTCTCTAATGAACTAATTCTTCTCGAAAAAATTCATTTTAGGACTTAAAATGCTTTTCAACACATGAGCTTTTGTGCAAAAGGTTCTATAATTTCTACCTTCCTGCGTCATGAGCTTCATTGAAGTACATTACATAATTGAATTTCAGTTTTCCATCTTCTTAGGTTTCCTAAAACCGCTCAAGTGCTGACATAACATTTTGATCTTCAACAGACAATATTCAACA